TTAGGGATTTTTTTTTAATGGCCAGTATGAACAGGAGAAATGATAACAGCATGCATAACCTGTTTCTATGGTAACTTGGACATGTGATTATTGTTGTAAGACAGCCTAAAAAATGAAATTGTCCTTTGTCAGTGACTGATCCTGTGTTTAAGCACAAGGTATGTTCTATTCATATTTTTGCATAATGACTACTTTTATTTTGGTACATTTTGATGCTAATACATTTGTACTTAAGTAACATTTTGAATGCAGGACTTTTAGGTGTAACAGTATTTTCACACTGCACATACAGGTTCGAATCCAGGTTGCGTCAGGAAGGGCATCCGCCGTAAAACACATGCCAAATGTCAACATGCGAGTCGTCAGTGTGACGAGTCGCTGTGGCGACCCCTAAACGGAAAAGCCGAAAGTGACTTTCTACATACCGGTCTCCTTTATTTTGCGGTGTGTGTTTGTGTGAAGTATGGATAAGCCACGCCCTCTGTAGGGACATGAGAGAATAGCAGTCATGGTGCAGGACAGTGAAATACATACAAGACCCACCTGCTTTGTGCCATTCTTTTTGGGGTTGGGGAAGTTGGTGGGGCTGCCCTGCCAAATGAATGGTGGAGGAAACACTATATCAGTGCACAAACCCCTCCCGCACCTTCATGGTGTTGTTGCCTTCATTAAATCTATGCAGTATTAATCCCCAAACTTAGAAGTGCATTCCTCTTCTCTCTGCTTCGACACATTCGATCAGCTACAACCACCCAACAGTCTGTGTTTCTTGGCTGTGACCTCTGACCTCTCTCCCTCCCAGGTGATAATAAACTGTGTGTGTGCTCCAGACCAGAGCCTGAACACAGTGGGTGCATTTGCTGTCACCCCCCTCAGGTTGTCTCTCCATCCCCATCAACCACCTGCCTCCCACAACAGGGTGCTGGCTCACATGTGGCAAGTGGTGCAGAAGAACAATGGCATAAAGGTGAGAAGGAAAGGAGAATTGTATCACTGTTTGTTTGTTTTTCACATTGCAGAATAACAATGGGTTGATGTAATTGTAACACTGTGATCAAACACGTACTGTATAAAGAGTGAAAAACGGATAGATGTGAATCTTTGAGTCTACTTAGACATGTATCTTTAATGCTTTGATGTTTGAGTGATTAACTTGTTTGTAGTGTTTCTTCAGTTTCCTAGTTTTTTGTTTCTATTTCACTGTAACTTTATTATCTAGAAAATACTTCATATCATTTGTCATTTTTAGTTGTGTCGAGACAACCGGTGGAAACCCCGGCTGCACTGATGTTGCAAACATCAGCCTTGATTAATGTGCTCTGTCCCTTTATGAATAAACAAACCAAAATATCCAAAATATTAAACAACAGTCTACAGTTCCTCAGTCTGCTGTGCCATGGGCCATCCCATACTCTTGCACCTCTTGTTCCATCCAGGTTCTTCTGTCTCTGCTGTCGGTGAAGATGCCAATCACAGACGCAGACTTGATCCGTGCTCTGGCCTGCAAGGCTCTGGTTGGACTCTCTCGCAGCTCAGCCATCAGACAGATCATCAGCAAACTGCCACTGTTCACCAATGGCCACATTCAGCAGGTGAGCACAAGATTTTCAATCAGAATGCTTATTGAAAACTCAGAAATATCTTAGGGCTGCCTCCTGAGAGTTGATGGGTCAATCCGTCAGTCGTGTACACCTTATTTATGCCGACTCGCATTTTGTCAGTTGACTTGCAACTCTGCAGGCACAGCAAGGCAATTCGTGTCTACTGCTTTGACATCCTTAGCGTTCACTGAGATCAGCAAAACTATTTCTGAACCAGTTGCTGGTTTTGTGCACAGTAGTCCAATGTGGCTGATTGTGACAGGAGAGATCCTCCGAGGTGCATTAGGATTTTATAACTGAACTAGGAGCAGGATGTACACTTTTACCACCAGCTATGTGGAAATCTGATGTTCTCATATCACTGGCGATGAACAATCACATTAAAATGTGGGTGTTTTGTAGGTAAAACATGAGTTCAGTGGTGAGCTGACAGACAGGGGCAGGGCAGTGAATCATACATTGGCAATAATATAAAGACATCAGTAATAATTTTGAGTATGTATAAAAATGAAAATCATAGAAGAATTAAATGAAAATATAGGTGATTAAAAAAACATGAACCAATACCAAGAGTCTATTCTCAAGTTGTGACAAAACCACAATCCAGGACTGAATTCTAAAAGTCTCATCGTTGTCTGATAAACTACACATGGGAATAGAAAGAATCTGCTGTATGTGCCTCATGATTTGTGTAACCTTGTGCACATTTTAGTGCTGATTTAAAAATGTCCAGTATTGTGTATATTCTTGAACTGAAGAATCAAAGTACAACACTCATCCTCCACAGATGCTCTTGTAATGTTTTTGTCCTCTTTACCTCCTCAGCTGATGAAGGAGCCAGTGCTGCAGGACAAACGTAGCGAGCACATCCGTTTCTGCCGCTATGCTGCTGAACTCACAGAACGAGTGTCTGGGAAGCCTCTCCTTATGAGCACCGACGTCTCCCTGGCTCGTCTGCAGAAGGCTAATGTGGTCGCCCAGTCACGGATCACCTTCTCTGAGAAGGAGCTCCTCATGCTGATCAGGAACCATCTAGTGGCTAAAGGGCTTCATGACACAGCAAACACACTTGCCAAAGAGGCAAATTTATCTATGGGATCCCTTTGTCCGAGCTCTTCCTCCTGTGTCTCCCCCTCCCCATCCTCCTCCTCAGTGATGCCCAGGACATGCCGATTAGCTGGTGGGATTGCAGCTCGTGCTGCCAGCCATGTTGGATCCTCGCCTGTGTCCTCAGTCACTGCAGCCTCCACCTCCTCTCCTTCCTTCTCTCGTTCTCATGCTGTGGCTCAGCCTTCATGCTCCTCTTCATCTGCCTCTGCCCTCCCCTCTCCTCCTCCTCAGGGTTCACACCCAGTTGGGCGGATTTTGTTCACACGGGAACGTCCGCTGACCAATTGCAACTCAGGAAAAAAGCTTCGCACACTGAAACAGAAGTCTGACCATGGTGCTTTCATACAGGTCACTAATGCACTTTGTTGTGTTTTGTTTGTGTAGATATTTATTTACTCATTAGAGCTGAAATCATTTTTCTTTGACCCAAAAGCAGCTTGGCTCATATTGTTTGGGTTTAGCACAGTTCACTTGTTTGTAATGCTCTATATTAGGAAACAGACACTTAGCAAGCTACCTGCAACACAATGTCACACCAAAAGGGTGTGAACTGGATCAGATCAAGCAAATAATGATCTATCCAAAAAGATGCCTGGATATAGAAACGTATGTAGTTTGGTTCAAGCTCCAAATTGACAGTTTTCTGTCTTGATCAGACACCAGCCATGAAGAAGCAGCTGGAGCGCCACCTGCCTTCCCCCCCAACCCTCGACAACATCATCACCGAGTACCTGAGGGAACAGCATGCCCGCTGCCCCAATCCTGTCACTCTGTGCCCTCCTTTTTCCCTTTTCACTCCCCACCGCTGCCCTGAGCCAAAACAGAAGAGGCAGGCGTCGCCCAACTTCACAGCCCGTCTGGGGAGCAGGGTGCTACACCCGAAATATGGAGGCGTAGACAGAGGGTGTCTGGATAGACATCTGATATTTAGCAGGTAATGAGCAGACACTGCATACCTGTGGAGGACAAGCCACTGTGTAGACTGTGTTATTGTTATATTTGATTTCAAGCTTGGTAAGGAAAATGCATCGCAGAAAAAGCAGACTGATCCCCTTTATCATTCTCTCTTGGTCTTTGTGTCTTTCTCCGCTTGCCTTTTTGGTTCTCTTTTTTAGGTTTCGACCAATGTCAGTCTTCCACGAAGATGATGGAGATGAGCTTGGTTTCACCTGTTGTGCCTTCTCAGCCCATGAGCGATTCCTGATGGTTGGAACCTGCACCGGTCATCTCAAATTCTTTAGTATCTTCTCCGGAGAGGTGGAGGCCAATTACACCTGCCACACATCTGCCATCACACACCTTGAACCCTCTAGGGTATGTGAGTGGAAGTGACCCAGATGAAAGGGGTCAACTTCCTCTTGTTGTTTCCTGCTATAGTGGCCCGGCTACACCTGTAAAACACTTTCAATTGCATGAATCTGTATGAAAGGTGCTTTATAAAGTTTGATTGATTGATAGCTGCCACACTGATACTGCAGTCCATGCTTGGGTTCCATTAATCAATATTTTGATAATAAAAATAGCAGCTGTTTTCAGAGAATCTGCTCTAAAGCAGCAAACAGCAGGCAGACCCAGTCTGGTGAACATAGTGGAGCATTTAAATGCATTAAGAGTTCCCTACCTCTTTTTATTCATTTCTCTTGATTGAAAGTTTTGTAAAAGTATAAAATTTTAACTTATTTTTTTCTCAATCTTGTGTGTTATGTGTTCATCAGGATGGCAAACTGCTGCTCACCTCTGCCTCTTGGAGCGTCCCCTTGTCAGCCCTCTGGGGGATGGATGGTGTCTTTAGCATGAAGTAAAACACACACACACACACACTGTTTTTTTTTTAGGGTGTGATGGGACTTTAATGTTGCTAAAATGTCTTGTTCTTATTCGCAGAAACTCGTTTGCAGATGACCACTACGTCGAGTTCAGTAAACTCTGTCAGGACAGAGTCATCGGCACCCAGGACCAAAATGCACATGTAGGCTACCCATAATGTTCCTGTCACAATGAGTGTCTTTTTATTCAGCTCTCTGTTCTCTAGTGTCAGATTTCTCTACATCTGTACCTCAGTTTTTTCTGATTTCTCCCTTTGCTTTTAAATATTTGATACATTTCCTGTCTCTCTCCATTCTTGTTAATACATGGCCTAAACATTATTTAAAAATTTTTTTTTGTATTTCTGTATAATTTCTTCTCCTGTGCTGCAGATCTACGACATCCAGACGGGTCAGAAGACTCTGACGTTGAATGACCCCGCCCTGGCCAATAACTACAAGAGGAACTGTGCCACCTTTAACCCCACCGACGACCTGGTGCTGAATGACGGGGTACTGTGGGATGTGCGGGCTTCACGGGCCATCCACAAGTTTGACAAGTTCAACATGAACATCAGTGGGGTCTTTCACCCCAACAGCCTGGAGGTCATCATCAACACGGAAATAGTATCCTCTGGTCCCAGTGCTTTTTGAACTTGAAACAGAAGTTTAGCACCTGTTTTGTTTTTGTAGCCATGTTGACTATTTCAAACACACTGCACCACAAAGCTACAGGACAAAAACTATTTTGAACTAATATAACTATTTCTGGTATGTTAGTGGATAATGTGTCGGCCTCGTTGTTGAAATCAGTTCTACATTTAAAGGCACATTAATGGACTGATTCAGTTTCTTCCTCGATACCTCTTACATCTGTGTGGACAGCAAAGTAAGAATTTCATTGTACAGGGAACCATGTTTCCTCACTGTGCATATGACAAACACTTGACTTGACTGTAGGTTAAATGTGAAGATGCAGCCAGTTAGCTCGGCATAAAGACTGGAAATGGCCATCTTGGCTCTAACCTCTGTGGTTTTGGGGGGGATACAAGTGTCTGACTGTTCTCATTGACTGTGCTCTTTAAATTTGTTAGGTGTTAATTGTATATTTTTTCTAAGAACTATTTTTTACAGATGAATGTTGAATTAAGACATGTAAAACCTTTATTTTAGATTTTTCAGGAGCCTATTATGAAACCCAGATGTGCAAGGTCAGATGAGGAGTCAGTTTCCCACACAGTGTAAGGTGAACAGTTGTCTGGAATAAAAAGGTGCAGGGAGCATGTTAGCTGTACTCAGGTGTGTGTGTGTGTGGGTGTGGGGGGGCTGTGTTGTGCAGCAGTTGTCAACCTTGACGGCAGATATTAGTGGGACCTGAGGACCTTCCACCTCCTGCACACAGTCCCTGCTCTGGACCAGTGCAGGCTGGTCTTCAACAGCAACGGCACCATTATGTATGGAGGTATGGGCTGTTTGTGCTTCTGCATTGTTACGAATTGGTTTTGTCTGTGCGCGTATTGCTAACAACATACTGTTTGAGCAGGCATTATTAATGTCCTGAATTTTTGCACAGTGTGTCACTGTACGTGTTGTGATCTCCTTCTCATCCTGCACACACTCGCTTACAGCGATGCTGCAAGCCGATGATGAGGACGATGCTATGGACCAGCAGATGAAGAGTCCTTTCGGCTCATCCTTCAGAACCTTTGATGCTACTGACTACAAGCCCATTGGTAGGATGCACCTGTTTTTATTGCAGACTTGAATACCATTGGTCAGATACAGTACATTTTTGCAACACCAAACAGTTATTCTACAAACGTGATCCTTAGTTGTATGATATTTAAAAATGTATGTCTCTGTTGAGGGCAGCACAGTGGCACAGTGGTTAGCGCCGTTGCCTCACAGCGAGAAGGTTCCAGGTTCGGGCCCCACCTGGGACCTTTCTGTGTGGAGTTTGCATGTTCTCCCCGTGCTTGCGTGGGTTCTCTCCGGGTACTCCGGCTTCCTCCCACAGTCCAAAGACATGCAGCTTAGGTTGATTGGTGTCTCTAAATTGCCCATAGGAGTGCATGTGCGTGTGTGTGGTTGTTTGTCTATGTGTTAGCCCTGCGATGGATTGGCGACCTGTCCAGGGTGTACCCCGCCTTCGCCCGATTGCTGGCCGGGGTTTGGCTCCGGCCCCCCCCGTGACCCTGCTCAGGGAACAAACGGTAGAAAATGAATGAATGAATGTCTCTGTTGACACTTGAGTATTAGAATGTTTTGGCCTTTTTATGTGATTTCTTAGTACAAATAAATAGATCATAAAATACCACCAGTGTTCTCCTTTAGCTACAGGCCTCAGCTGGTGGTCCTTCTGCTAGTTCTCCATGCACCAGTTGTTCCAGTGGATTTTAATGACTTCAGCTTATAACTAATATATTTCTTTTGTTTGTTCAGCCACAGTGGACGTGAAGAGGAACATCTTTGACCTATGTACTGACACCAAAGACTGTTACCTGGCTGTCATTGAGGTACTTTGCTTGATTTTTTTTTTTCTTCTTCATGTTAGCTTGTAGGCAGTCATCGTGCAGAGGCACAGTATCAGAGATTGTTGTGGTATGAGTCATTAATAAAAGGCATAACAGTAAAACCAAACTGTGTTTAGCTCTACTCTCACCTGTTGATATTCCAAAGGTTATTCATCATTCACAGCTGTTTTACCCATGAGCACATGCCCTCCATCGTGGCCATATTAGTGCATTCATCTTAAGGAACATGTTGTGTTCTTTTAATGAACTGGGCAATTTTGTTTTTAAAAATGATGTTGCTGCTGTTAAGATAATTTGTGGGGTTTTATCGAAGTACCAGAGAACACTACAGTCTAGCCTCGATCACAGCAGGACAAAAACTGGGTGTAGAGGTATACAAATGCAAGTTTTTCACATGTGGTGGCCCTAAAGTGAAGGTCTGGTGCTGCGCTGAGGTTTTAAAATCCTGACATATTAAGTTGTTTATACACACATGCACACATAGACATGCAGTTAAAGTCAACTACATGTTGCTTCCTGAATTAAAACAGTAGGTTTGAAAGTATAAAGTGTAAAATATTATACCGATATTGTTTATTGTATTATGTTCCACGACAGTGAAGTTTCTCTTTTCTGTACTTCCTAGTGCTGCAATAAATCCTGATTAACAGGCACATATTTCTTGATGAATCAATTATACACAAAAAAGGTTAGTGTATAATAATAATAATAACAACTAAAAGTTAGTGTATAAATGTTTGTCTACAACGGAGTCTAAAACCTAAAGATGCTCAATTTGCAGTCATGTTGGATAAAGAAAAGCTGCAGATCATCACAGTTGTGAAGCTGGGGAGTGTCTCGTTGTCTGTCTTTATCTTTTTTCACTTTGCTGTGTAGAACCAGGACGCAATGAGCATGGACACAGTGTGTCGACTGTATGAGGTTGGACGACAGAAACTGCCAGAAGAGGGAGACGATGATGATCAGGTGACACACAAACCGCCTCTGCAAAGCTGAGTGTTATGATTGGTTGTTGGTTTTGTGTCTGTGTCAGGTTTAACAGTTTGGGAGACAATTCAACACTTGCAATGGCTTGTTGCCATCTCTCACAAACACATGACAACCGTGACCACAAACTGTGAACAGCTCCTCCTCTCTGTATTAATTTTTGTTTAAAGTCAATGCTGTCAGTTGTGGAGAGCCAACTTTAATATGTTATTAGCAAGTTATTAAGGTTAGAATACAGCTGTTGCCGAGGTTAACACGCTGTACATAGCATGGATGTATACAGTGGGGCAAATAAGTATTTGATACACCGATTTTTCAAGTTTTCCCACTTACAAAGAATGGACAGATCTGTAATTTTCATCGTAGGTACACCTCAACTGTGAGAGACAGAATCTACAAAAAAATTTCAGGAAATTCACACTGTTAGATTTTTTAAATAATTTATTTCCATTTTATTGCATGAAATAAGTATTTGATACGATAGAAAAATAGAACTTAATATTTGGTACTGAAACCTTTGTTTACAGTTACAGAGGCCAGACGTTTCCTGTAGTTCTTGACCAGGTTTGCACACACTGCAGCAGGGATTTTGGCCCACTCCTCCACACAGGTCTCCACACAGGTCTTCTCCAGATCTTTCCGGTTTTGGGGCTGTCGCTGGGCAACATGGAGTTTCAGCTCCCTCCATAGATTTTCTATTGGGTTCAGGTCTGGAGACTGGCTAGGCTGCTCCAGGACCTTGAAATGCTTCTTACAGAGCCACTCCTTAGTTGTCCTAGCTGTGTGTTTGGGGTCATTGTCATGCTGGAAGACCCAGCCACGACCCATCTTCAATGCTCTTAGTGAGGGAAGGAGGTTGTTGCCCAAAATCTCACAATACATGGCCCCATCCATCCTCTCCTCAATATGGTGCAGTCGTCCTGTCCCCTTTGCAGAAAAGCACCATCAAAGCATGATGTTTCCATCCCCATGCTTCACGGTTGGGATGGTGTTCTTGGGATTGTACTTATCCTTCTTCTTCCTCCAAACACGGCGAGTGGAGTTTATACCAAAAAGTTCTATTTTGGTCTCATCTGACCACATGACTTTCTCCCATGCCTCCTCTGGATCATCCAGATGCTCTTTGACAAACTTCAGACAGGCCTGGACATGTGCTGGCTTGAGCAGAGGGACTTTGTGTGCGCTGCAGGATTTTAAGCCATGACAGTGTAGTGTGTTACTAATGGTAATCATTGAGACTGCAGTCCCAGCTCTCTTCAGGTCATTGACCAGGTCCTCCTGTGTAGTTCTAGGCTGATCCCTCACCTTTCTCAGGATCACTGATACTCCACGAGGTGAGATGTTGCATGGAGCCCCAGCCTGAGGGAGATTGACAGCCATCTTGAATTTCTTCCATTTTCTAATAATTGCGCAAACAGTTGTTGCTTTCTCAATAGTGGAGAAGTTGGAGTCTGATAGATTGAATGTGTGGACAGGTGTCTTTTATACAGGTAACGAGTTCAAACAGGCGCAATTAATACAGGCAATGAGTTAAGGATAGGAGGACTTCTTAAAGACAAACTAACAGGTCTGTGAGAGCCAGAATTATTGCTGGTTGGTAGGTGATTAAATACTTATTTCATGCAATAAAATGGAAATAAATTAAAATCGGCAGTGTATCAAATACTTATTTGCCCCACTGTATGACATGACTGCTCTGCAAGTGGATAACATTAATGCTCTAATTTCATAAACCTTGACGCTGAAAGTTTGCCCCCTCAGTCCAGGGGAATTTCAAAAAACACAGGTAGGAAAGCTGAGTAATCCGACCAGTGTGATTAGTGATCATTGATTCATTTAAATTATTTATTGCCTTCAATTGGTGCTGCTGAAGCACCAACAGAGGGTCAGAAAGAGAGAGATTGAGAGACATGTAGGAGGAGGGCAGCAGCCAAAATGCTGCTTCTGTGGAAGAGCTAGTACAGAAGGAACAAGTCAGATGAACAGCACGATAACATTACTATAGTTAAAATAAATTCTGAACGTGTGACACCCCCGCATATGATAATTCATTCTCAGAACATACAGTATAATTGAAGTGACATTCATTACAAGATGGTTAGTTAAAACATTGCAAAAGGGGAACCTTTGACGGACTGCTGTTTCCTGCGGTAAACCGTACTCATTTTCTGTTTTCTGTATTTGCACTGCGTTGTGCTTGCTTCCAGATTGTTTAGGAATTAAAATCACTATTTTCTAGGTTCATCTGAATTTTTGAGTGACAACATACACTTGCACCACTTAAAGCACTTGTTTTGCAGAAGTTCTTGCTAACTACCAAATTTAACTTGCTACTTTAGGTCGGCTAGTTTAGAAGCTAGCTAAGCTAGTAGCTTAATCGAGAGCAATGGCTTCCCCCTCTTCCTCTCCTCCTTTCTCTTGCTCGGAGTGTCGCATGTTCAGTTATTCCTCTGCCTCCTTTAGCGATAATGGTACTTGTAATAAATGTCAGATGCTAGCAGCATTGGAGGCGAGGCTCACAGACTTAGAAGCG